CGTTTAGATGTAAAATCTAGTGCTGAGTAAGTTTACTTAAGAGCATTTACTCAGTTTAATTAATAAAATGTTGAAAAAATTTGATTTTTTTGAAAAATTTTTTGGTTAAATTTAGTACAAATAATGTACAGATTAAGTTTCAATTCTTTTCCATAGCAGACTACTTAAATTAGATAATGACTAAAGTTGTATATGTGGCTTGTTGTACACTCTTCATATAATTACAAACTGTAAAGAAACCCTATGTGGAACCTCATATATCAAACTAATAAAATTCGCTTAGCTATGTAAGCTACCTTAAAAATAAAAAAAATAAAAAAAACTAACAACTTTCTACATATAGACTATTTTCTGTCTATAAGCTCTATATCAATTACCAACTCCCATTAGTATATCCTAGATACAGAATTCAACTTTTCTTCACAAAACTACTCCTAGCCAAATAGAACTTACTTAATTTTTACTGCACTTATTACTGCTCTACTTGCACTTCTATATGATTCTACTATCCATATTACTATATCAATAGCCTTATTTCAAAAAATCTACAACTATATTCACTCCAAAATATATCTTAATCTCAAACTTGCTACTAGTAAACTAGTTTACCAACTAGCTTAGATTGCAATTACTACTATTATAGTTTAGAAAAATCAACAAATTTATTTTACTACTTCAGCTCTTTCTATCTCACTTAATATCTTACTTCTTATCTGATTAATATTTCTTACAATCTTATTAGACAAGATATATACTACCTTACTTGGCAAAACAATATTATCTAATACCCACTATGCAGATTCATTCAACATCTTAAGAATGCTTATAATCTATCAAATTGGTATTCACAAACTAGGATAAAATCAATTAACTTTATATGATATACTATTAATTAGAATACTCTGTTTGAATTTCTCAACTTTAATAACTTACTTAACTCAAGATAAACATATTTTAAATATACACAAACTAAAGTCTTCAAAGTAAAATTTCTTCTAGACAAACTCTTAACAAGACTAAATCTACATAAAAGAAACAATCAAAAATACTCTAACTCATACTATAAACAATGCAATACAAGTATTGAAAACAATACACACTAATAGCAATATCTCTCTAACCAAATCTCTATCAACTCAATTATACAGAATACAACAAACAAAGTCTTTTTGCAATATCACTGCTCTCTATTCTCTTCAATTCAAAAAATCTCTGATATAATTATCTATAACTAAATTTATCTGCTCACCTCTCTTATCAACTCTACTCTATATATAATCCAAGGCTATATTCTAAACTATCTGTATGCAAATATTTTTCGCTATACTAAAAAACCTATTTTAAAAAATACTTAGTAGTATGTTTTCTTCTTCACAAAATATCTAAAAAGGTTTACAAGAATATATAGATTCCTCGATACCAAAGCTCTAACTCTAATATACCTACTTCTACAAATATCTTTTTTTTTACTTCTAATCTTCATATTAGCTCCATAAACCCCACAATACCTATATTCAAAAATATTAAAACTAATAACAGAATAAAATACTGATCTAGTTATTTTTCTTTTGCAAATCAATCTTCTGATATCATACTTTGTTACAGAGACTAGTTAAGGTCTGACCTTCTCTAGCAGAGTCTAGATTAAGGGTAAACTAGTCTTAGTTTCCTGTTCTTAGCAAATTTTTTTGTAATTCTATATGTACATATACCTATACAATTTATCTAATAAATAACAGAGACAAGGTCTTACTCTTTAAAAAAAAAAAAAAAAAAAAAAAAAATTTTATTTAATTTTAATTTAAAATAATACATATAATAAGTAATATCTGTAATTGTCCTAACTTTTTTTTTTTTTTTTTATTTTTCAACAAGCTGTCCGCAGATTTTTATTAAGTATTATTTTTAAGTTATATTTGTTAGTGAGGATACAATTGGCTACACGTACAACTTTAGTCGTTGTCTATTTACAGGTTCTGCCATATAGGTTATCTACTAATTGCCATACCTAGTATCTGCCTGTAGATACGCTATTTAAACCCTCTGACATCACAATAAAACTCTATTTTTAACCTAATGTTTATTTATCTATGCTAATCTTGTGCTGCCTCATCTGAGGACCACCCAGACCAACTTGCACTTCAAATTGACTTCATAAGACTAGGCCCTATCACAAGGTACTCACCTGTGTCCCATTCCAGTGAGGGCTTGCGGATGACCCTAACTATGCTGTGCTATATCCCAATTAAGCTAGCATATACCTTTATAGGTGTTCGTACAAACCCAGTTCCTTCTGTAGCTCTCCACCAAATTGGTCTAGTTCTTCTGAATGTTTCATGAGATAGATCCTCCTAAATCCAGTTAGCCGCTAAGCCAGGTTGGTGTTGCTATTCGTATAACATTACATTACACTTAACTTTTCTATTACATTATGGATTTACTCGCACCCACTCAGTCTGCATTCTTCATTCCTAGACTTTCTCTAGATCAAGCGTCAAGCTAGCGTAACTGTCGAAATCCGTACTATATCACCTAACTTAGGATTTCTACTATGCAGATCCTCTGCCCGTAGATCCTATCAAGATTTATTCGTATAATGTTATATCAGACCTGACTTTTCCATTACACTTCTAATACCCGATTAATATTAGTACAACACGATTTACAGAGTTACAACCCCAGAAACAGATAGGATTTACTGTAAGTTGGATACAAGAGTCTGAGTAATTATTTAAATTCATCGACAGTGAGATTTGAACTCCAAACCTCTTACATGGCGGTCCGACAACCTAACCACTACACTAAGATTGCCAGACCTCAGTCCTAACTAATCAATCATTTTTTTAATAGATTCAGAAATATCAAATCTAGATACAATTTTTATTTGAGAATATACTGATCTATAAAAATCTGCTGCAAGTTTGCTTAATAGATTATTAAGTTTTTTATTATCATAAACAATCATATTAAAGCATCCTTCAAATCTATTAATCGCTGAATGTATTCTGATAATTACATTATTACTGATAGAATTCTTTTGACTTTTATACTGTATTATAATTATTTTTTTTTTGTATATAGCAATAATATTAATACTATAATCATCACTTTTTCTAACTAGATTTGGTAAAATACTATCTTTCTCTAATATTCTACAAATTTTTTTTCAAATAAAGTTTTAGTTAAAATATTTAAAATTTTATAATTCGTTGCTTCTTCCTTTAATCTTTTAATTTCTAATTTCAATTTTTTAATTTTTCCTTTCAATTTTATTACTTGATATTTATAGTTATCATTTTTATTTAGTTTTTCTTCAAAAGGTTTATTTATTTTCACTACTTCCTCTATACTATCATCAAATAATTTTGTATTGTTATTGTATAGATATTTAAATTCAATAATATTTGTTCTAAAATTGTATTTAGATTTCTTTATTTTTTTAGCAATATTTGGTTTTAACTTTCCTTGATTATATTTGACTAGATAATAATCATTTTTATCATATGAAAATTTTAAAGAATCTTTATCAGGAGCAAGTATTTTAGCTTCATTAAAGTATAATACAATATTTAGATATTTATAACAAATATATTCAAATAGTTTATCTTTGTAAAAATTCTTTAAATGATTAAGAAAAAAATCTATATTATCGTCAAAGGAAATATTTAATAAAATAAATTGTATGGATATAATATTCATTTTTTTTAGAAACGAACTTGAATATATAAAAATAAATAATCATATCATATATAAACTAAAATATGTTGGAGTTTTTAATATATTATACAAATCAAAAACTCTATTAAATTTTAAAATAGATCTATTAAGTTTATTTATATTGAACAAAGGATTAGTTTGTTATTATTATAGGATTTTGAAAAAGACTAACTACAAGTTCAAAAGAGTAAAAAGTTGTTAAATTTCAAAAATGAATTATTAATACAAATTTTTGAGATTATTTTACATAAAACAAGATTAGAATATATTTAAACTTTAAGAATTGTATGTTGAAAATAGAAAGATATTATTGACTCTGTTATATAAGATGAATTGAAATATAAATTAAAACAAAAGTTTAACTCAAGGTAAGTTAATATAATAATAGTTAAAATAAACATATTAAAAACATTTTTTTTTAATCAAATGAAAATATCATATGGAAGTAATATATATGTTTTAGCTAGAATATTTGATGAATCTTTACAAGAAAAATATCTCGATAAATATTTTTTTTGTATTGTACAAATTAGGCCTAAAAATATTTATCGAAATTTGCATTACTATTACAATTAAATTTAATCCTATGATTCTGAAATATAATATCAAAAAATATAATGAATAATTAAACTACAAATTTGTGATCTCAAAGTTTTATAAAAAAAATTAATCTATATAAGAAATATATTAAATAAGATTTTACTGAATATAATAAATTTGTAAAATATAACATTATGAATTCTCAAAAATACAAAAAAGAATTTCATAATAAAAATCTTATTTTTACTTAATATTCTAATGAAGATTTAGATATTTATAGAATAATAAAAATTTATTAAACTTATTCTATAGATATTTTTTTGTATTCAGGTTAAGTAAAAGAGAAATAATATATTTTATAGATAACACAGAAAATAACAGTATTTAAATAAAAATATTATATGATATAATAAATTTTAAAAAAAAATATTATTATCCTCAGTGTTTTCTCGCATTCTTTCTTCATGACCTACTGTATTATCAATTTATCTTTGATGAATTATAATTTGCTGTTCATCAATAACCTCTATAGGATTTAGAGTTTGATCTTTATTACTAGAATTTATAATTTGTTCATTACTAACATTTTGAAAAATATCATTATGTCTATTTCTCAGATTTTATAGAATTCTATTTTAACAACTTCTAAACAGTAAATTATTTAAATAATCATATAAAACATCAGTATCATTATCTCTATTCTGACTTTGAAATTTGTTACTAACATTTGAAAGATTTATAAATCATCTCTCTTCTATAATATTCAAATGAATATTATTATTAGTCTGATCTCGAGGAATATTTTTAGTTAATAATATAATACTTCTAATATCATCAGCTAAAAACTTTAATAACTCATTATGATTTAAACTATAAGTTCTTTTGATATAATTATTTAAATTATCCAAATATCTTGTATATAAACTATCTTTGTATTGTTTATACATTGAATTAAATGTGATAAAAAATTTTCCCATATATTCTGTAACAAATGTATCTTTTTCTCTAATATTAGTAAAACTATCACTTTTAATTTTATCATACAATGTCTCTAAAAATTCTTCAAATTCAACTTAATTATATTGACTATCTCTTTCAAATAAATAACTAATATTATTAAAATAATCTAATTGAATCCCATTACTACTGCAAATTCTGTAAATAACTTTATTCTTGAATTTAACAAACTATTCTCTGATATTAAAATTATTAATCCTATCTATTTGTAACATATATATAAATAGATAATTTTCAAGGTTGTTCTGATAAGTTGTTAAAATATCATTATACATCCTTTGGTATTGTGATAAACATATATTATTCCTCATGCCTTTGTATATGAATACATTATATTTATCATATGATGATGTAATACAATTAAGATGTTTAATGTTTAAATATAACTTATACAATTTTCATTCACTGTCATTTCCAGAACATTGATTAATATTATTATTTATGAATATTACTTTTATATTCCTCAATTTATTTCAATATATCTATAATAATTAAATCTTCTACAATACTCTTTCAAATCTCTAAAATTACTTTTATTTGTTTCAGCTATAATATAGTTTGATAGAATTAAATTTAACTTTAAATTTACTCTTTAAATAGATAATAACAAAATTATATTTATGTCTTTTACAATAAACATTATCGGAATTCTAATTTTATTACTCAATAAAACTTAAAACAAAACAAGAATTTAAAAATTAAATAGTTTAGATAATTGCAAAATATAGATAAATAAATCTGCAATATACCTTTTCAATATTCTTTCAAAATATTACAACTACTACCTAAACTTGTTAGTAAAATCATAAAATATAAAGGTCTGGCGATCTTAGTGTAGTGGTTAGGTTGCCAGACCGCCATGCAAGAGGTCTGGGGTTCAAATCCCACTGT